AATTTCTGAGTAAAACCTGTAGATGATCTATTATGATCGAGGAATAAAAACAAGTATTATAAAAATTGTAAGGAAATATTTGAATATGGAGTAAATGAAAACAATCCATATCGTTAAAATGAATAAAAAGGGATAAAATGTTGGAATTACGAGTGATGAGACAGAAATAAAAACATTATAATAAATAAGTTAAGCTAGAATTAAGAAATATAAAAACACAGAAGGGAAATCATGAACGTAAGAAAAGCAATTAACAGTTATAGACTTAAGTTTTTTTAAAAAATATTCGGTAATGTAAGGAAGATATTGTTAAACACGTGAAAGAAATTAGAAATTCTGTAGAAAATTTAGTAAAAGAACTAAGATCACGAAAAATAAACGTTTCTTTTTAAATACAATTTCATACCACTAAGTTAAAGTGTGTATAGAATACTAGAGTGGTTTAAAAAAGTAAATGAAGTTAAAATTCAGAATATATTGAACATTATAACGTTAAAAAAAGTGTTAAATTGCATCTAAAATTAAGTAATGTAACAAAAATAAACAGCATGTGCGGGAACGTTTGTGAAATATAACATATAAGTTAAAAATCAGGGTATGCTGAAATTTATGAAAGGTATGAAAAAAAAATAGTATGTGGAAATTAAATAAATATTACAAATTAGAAACGTGTTAAGTATTAAAAAAATATGACAGTAAATGAATATGTTATTATGAACAGAAAACCTAAGAAATAAGTTAAAGTTTCATTTAAAACTAGAAAGGATAAAAGTATCAGAATAAAATTGAGTAATAAAAACAAATTATCTTGTAATTTCATTTTCATGACATGATGAACTATCATTAAAGGAAAGTCTTTTATATTTGTTTCTTTTACATTGTTTTCAGAGTCGCGCATTGAATAATTTTAACACCAGACTTAAAAAATATATTTCTAAAACATATAATTCACTTTTTTGTCCCTAGAGACGCATAAGCATTCCTAAATACATTATTTTCTTTTTTCGTCCCTAGAGGACGCCATGACTCCGTTGCCAAATTAAAAAAAACTAACTTTAAATGAAAAGCAGGAGGTCTACAACTCAACCAGCAGTCTACGAACACCTCAACTCCACTCAAAACCACGCCTCCTAGTGTGATGACGTTGCCTTTGGCCCCGCCCTCTGTGATGTCATTGACCACGCCCTCAGCTCCCAGCTCCTCCTGTCGCAGAACTGTCATTTTCATGCTACTAACGGATATAGACAATTATGTTTTTGCCACATTCTCTCAAGATGGCGACGAAATAATCCGACATGTACTGGGAAAAGGGATAGGTGATGATGAGGAAGAAGAGGATGAAAATGTACTCCACCCACAGAGCATGAAAGTTACGTGGAAGGAAGCTGACGCAGGATTGAAAGATTTCTGGAGAAAAGTTCATCTACATCCGTACATAATCTTATGAAGTTTCATTGATTATATAGCGAAATTTTAAAATGACGGCGAGAATTTTTGCAAGTAACTGGACATTCGAAGTTATATTTCGTCGTACTAACAAATTCTCAAATTTTATGTGGTAATAAACATGGTAATGCCTACATACTTAATTATGAATTGTTTTTCAGAAAAATTAAATCATGTTATGTTTTTTAATTTTAAATGATCTGTACTATTTTCGATAATATTTGTTTAATCGAGGACGATAGATAAAAAAATTGCTGAAGGACATCGTATATGACGAATTCCATAGATAGTATCATCTAGAATGAGCAAGTATGTTCTAGAAATATATGTTCAATTATCCGGACAAATCTCTTCTCTGGAAGCGCTGTCTCGCTGTTGCCGGTTAAAAGAAATTCTACTGTAATTAGATTATTAGATAAGAAAGTGTATTTATATTGTATAAGCCAGACTTAATAATTTTGTGATATCATATTCTATATCAATAGAAAACTTTATTCAGAAGAAATTATTGATTCTGAGACTTTAATAATCTTTAATACAAAAATTGTAAAATTAAAAGAATGTTTATGTTTTTCCTTCCTCCTTATATCTTCTGTTTTTCATGGATTCTATTAGCAACGCTGTTGTTTTGAAAGTAAGTGTAAATTTTATCAAGATTTTGAATTGCTCTTATCGTGTTTTTATCAGCAGACGTTGAGCACAACCGTTACAAAACACTGGTGATTCAGATGATTTTATCAAGCATCCATTCCAGTTGCCATTTTGGAAATCTCTAATAGTATCGAAAATTGTTCTCATAAAAGCTCAAAAATCTAAATTATATGTTTACCAGCATAAATAAAAATGTCCATGTGCAATTCTGAGTAGAAATTTTAGAATGTGGCGATAACCGCTGGAAAACTCTGGTGATTTAGGAAAGTCACCACTCCAGACGCCATTTTTAAGCTCTAATTCTGTTGTAGTGTCGAAGATTGTGTTTTATGAAATTGCAAGAACCTCATGCAGTATTTCCTAGCGCAACGTTGAAAATTCCTGTGTAATGTGGAATATTAATTTCAAATTTTTGTTTCCCTTTACCAAGTGCAGTGCAATGACGTATAGTTCACGGATTACCTTGTCATGGATTACTATTGTTAAATTCTGTTATATGTAGATTCAGTAACATACTAGTATAATTTTCAACTGAGCAGCTGAAAACATGGCTTTATATAAATAAGCTTTTTTGCTTTTATTATATATATATATATAATAATAATATACTAATAGATGATACTAATAAAATAATTATATAATAATACATTAATATATATAATACTAATACTATAATTTATTAATATAATATATATAATACTAATACTATAGTTTATTCATATGCTATTGTATATATATAATAATATAAATATACATAATTACTAATTACTATATAGATATACTTTACTAATTACTATATATACATATATAATTTTCGAATTTATAATACTAATTTAAAATACTAATAAAAAAACTTTTTTCTGTAATTATTCATGGTTGTAATTGAATTTCTGTTCCTTTGAGATGGTATATAAAATGTTTTCTAATTATATATATACAAATATTTCTCCTGTAATAATTTATCGTTACAATTGTCTACCATCGCAACTGTTACGCATGTTATTTTCGTAGGTTTAGCATAAATATTTATATTTACTGTTTCCGAAGGACGAGAAAGAATTTTTAAATTGTCAATATTGTTCATTCTACAGAAATTCTAATTAAGTAACATTACAAGTAAAGAAATTTTGTATATTTATTTAAAACTGGTTTTATTTTCCCTACTAGATTTTATTTAATTATAAAAAAAAACTTATAATAATATGAAAGCAAGTAAGTTTTATTAATAGACGTTGTAGAAAAAAGCAGATAATTCTGGAAATTTTGAAAAATAATAATTTACAAAGCAATTATAACTTTTTTAATTGCAATTTTATTTGAAAATTGACAGGCATTTGTAACCTGAAGCCATAATTGTTTACTGCATGAGAAAGGAATGAAATAAGATTTCGACAGCGTGACGTTAAAGAAATAAGTGGAAAATGAAATTAAAAACAAAGGCAGGGGAAAAAAAAAAAAAAAAAAAAATCTGAAAACTTTCAGATTTTACATTACGCCCAAAGAGAGTTGTTTTAACGTTTTGTGTATTACTTTTATTTATTAAATATTGTGTTCTTCTCTCTTAAACCATAACAGTTCAACAGCAATATCGCAAAATAATTTTAAAATGAGTCTATTTTTAGAATTTCCGATACATAGTTTCGTTACCTGGAAATAAAAAATGTTTTTATTTTCGTACAGTGTTGCCGTCGCTCGCTTTGAAATTGTTGAGTTTGTTAATCAAAAACTCGTTAAAGTTTTACAAAATATGAAATAGATAATAAAACAAATTCCAAATTTGGTCTTCCAAATTGCCCATATTTGGGTGGAAACGTACGTTATTCAAAATTGGGTGGCTCTAGGTACCGTCGTTTTATCCCAATGCGAGAAACATACACACATTTATGCAGATTCTTCATTATTTAATTTCATTAACTATAATATAGGTTTGTAATATTTGGTGGCAACAGTTTGAAAAGTGAACCGACATTTAAAGTTTTCAACGCAAAATGCCAAAACGAAATTAATAGCCCTTTTGGGCTAAATAGAAAACATATCCTGCAACTAGAAATGGAGCTACTCAAGAAAACCGAATTTAAAAAAAAAAAAATTATTATAGCATAATGTCGTCAGTGGGAAACTAAACAACCAAAGTGTAAGAAGAGATGACGTATTATTTACTTTGATATAATGTCATCAAAGTAAAAATTGAGTAGCGAAATTTAAAGGAAAAAAAAACGTTTTATTTTGACAAAAGTCACTTTTTATTAAATCCTTTCCCCCCATTAATATGTAAATTAAGATATAAGTGTCCTTTTAATGAATAAGCAACTTACAGTACATACCAGATTCCTCATTTATTAGCATAATATGTATGCAAAAGGTAAGTGCATAGATGATAATTTGAAGACAAGTAGGACGTAATATTCATAACAAGTATTTTAGAACTGTGAATAAATAGCCTTACCTAGAGCCATCCTATTTTGAGTAACGCAGTCCTCCGAATATGAGCACTTTGACGCCCGAATTTGGAATTTTTTTTATTTATCTTATTTCATCTTTTCATATTTTGTTACGAATTTTTGATTAACAAACTCAACAGTTTTAAAGCGAGCAGTGTTAACACTGTACGGAATAAAATATTTTAATCTCCAGCAGGCGAGCGAGACAGACTGCCGGAAATTTTAAAGATATGATAATTTTAAATATTTCTACCCCAATAAGCGATAGCCCAAAATGCACCCGACATGTGTATGCGCCTGTAAATGGGAAAAAAAAAAAAAAAAAAAAAAAAAAAAAAAAAAAAAAAAAAAAAACGCAAAATAAAATCTGAATTCTGGGCTTAATAGAAACTTCTAAAATTTTCAGACTTTTTGAAACATATTTTCCTTAAATTAAGTAGTTAATATAATCATCATACTTACCTCCTTAAAACCATATGTACGCGCCTGTAATCATCACCTTCATCTGATTCCATTATTTTGCGAAAGGGGGGTCTCTTTAAAAGCTACAGGAGCAGACGCTGAGTAAGAGTATGTAAAATGGCCAGAGATATTCGTCACTACTGAAAGGAAGAGTTTGTTGTTAAGCTTTCCGATAAACATATCGTGGGAAAGAGAGATTTAAACGCATGTTGATTTTTAACAAAATGATAATAGCTAAAAAATAAAATGAAGCAATTGGTATGGAGTAAATTGATTCAGATTGAAGTAAATTTTGAATATATTATAAGGTATTACTCCCGCCTTCTTGGCATGCCTTCGTGGTGTGGTGGTCTGCACACTAGGCGCGTATTCCAGAGGTCTACGGTTCGATTCCCGGCGAAGGCGGTTGCTCATTTTTCATCTTGACTGCTTCCATATTACCTAATGTCTCTAGAGTGAGTGAGTGACGGAGGACGTGGGCACTTCCTTTTGTTTAAGAAGATAAGATAAATTTATCAGATTGCTCTCGAAATCTATTGAGTTTTACTCAAAATTTACTTCGGTCAAAGGTTGCTTTTTTTATCCAAGTTTAATATGAGGTGTCCCAACTTAAGCGCAGGATTTAATATGCTGTAGTGAAGTGTTTAAAGGAATTCTGCCATTTTGGTCGAAAATCGAACGTTTTTTCTTTTTGCCAAACTTACAATAACTAAGACATTTCCAGCGCGAGGATCTTTAATGCATCTTCAAGCGAGAGTCATTCCAGCGCGAGGACATTCACGACATTAAATTCTTTGCGAAATGTTCTGTTCAGATGATGCGTCAACAGGCTGGTGACGCAACATTTTCGTTCTTTTGTGTTTTCGTTTCCATGATTTTGTACTGCTCAGATTTTACTCATCATCTAAGTTCCTATTGGCAAATAAAGTTTCAGTTTGTTTTACCTTTAAAGTCATGAACAGTTTTTTTTTTTTTAAAGCAGGAGACATGAAAAATGAGGAATGCTCTCGTCGCCGGGACTCTCTGAACCTCTCGAATAATCGGCGAGTGTGCTACCGTTACACCATAAAAGCATGCGGAAAGGAGAGAGAAAATATAGAGTAATTAATTTTATGCCAAGAAAAAGTTCAGCCGGTAGTATCATTATAGTATCATGCATAATGGTAGTATGATGCTTAGCCGTCCGCAAGACAAATTCATTGATACAGTCATCGCTATCCTTAGTGATAATGTTTTACATAGCTGCTGATACTGCTCACCGGCTGTGCAAGGCCTATAAGGAACTGTTTTTAGAAATGTTGTATGCCAAGAACAGTACATATAGTCTCAAAATTTTCACTAATAATTTGCTTTCTGTTTTCATATTATTTTGGAGCTCCATATTTTAATATAAATTCATTTAACAATGACTGCAGAAATGTTACGGAAGCGTTTTGAGAAGAATTATTTCTATCGACTTTGAAAAACGATCAGCAATTACGAGCAAATACATATTTTTATTTTTCTCGCCACGTAGATACGGACCTAGTAGATCAATTCTTATTAATTCATTAGAGAGTACATAAGTAGCTTTTATGCTATTTAGGTGCCCGCCTGGACTGTCATTAATATTTTTAAGTAACTGGAAGGTGTTGCAGGACTTGACATATTAAGTAACAAATTTTTGTACCTCTGGAAAATACACAGCTTCTATTACTCACTGAACTATTTTTCTTATCCAGAGAAGGCCTGAAATTGGCGCATCATGCAGTTCCTGAAGAATGCTTAATGTTAAATCGCTGCCATAACCAGTCTTAATTCATTATTATTATTTATTGCTTTGGAGTAAAACAAAAGATTGTCAATAATTTCCTAATTTGTTGCTCTGTTTCTAAACCCATTTTATTATATGGTATTCAGAGTGGTAGGGATCTTTCAAATACGCATAAATATTTTTAAACTCCGGGTCTGCTTGTAGCTCAAACATAATTATTTCTCGAGCGTCTAGAATTTAACGTTGCATATTTCAACTCATTCTCTCATTTAATTTAGTTATTGATAGAACATCTGCTGCAATATTTTCTTTCTAGAGAGTAGGTATAAATATTAAACTGTATTCTTGCAATTTAAAGGCCCATTGCATGAGTCTCGGTAATAAGTTTTTCCCAGAATACAAACGAACAACTGCCACATGGTCTGCATAACCGTTTGTGGGGACCTTCCCAAAATAAATTCGAAATTTCTGAACCGCCAAAAGAACTGATAATGTTTCCTCTCGTAACGGTATATTTTCTTTGCATTGGCTTAAATGTCTTATTAAAATATGCAGCTGTACATCTTGCATAAAGCACGTTTCCATACCTCTGAAAGTGATCTCTTCAAAGAAGTACGCAAAGTGCGTCAATTCACCCGAAAATGTTTTGCGTCAGCAACTTTCGTTATATGTGTATCATTCCAACACCATTTATGGTTTTTCAATGCAATTATCAATCTACACAGAGAAAAATAGATGTTGCCATTCGAGAATTTCGATTTTTTTAACTGTACCGTAACCGTGAGATTTCTATTGTTTTAAATCATCGCAATTTAAAGTTGATGTCTTCAAATAACATTATATTTAAATTAGCTGAGCCGATAGATCGCTATCAGTTCATATGTCGGGGAAGTTTATTTATGACCACTCTGTGTACTGTGTATTATACAATTGGTCAAATGTTTGGAGCGAAATTCTGTGATTTTGCATTATTGAAGAACCTAGAAACAGCCAACAGTATTCGATATATAATACAACAAAATAAAATTCATACTTATTATCCAAATTTTGAAAAAGAAAATACATAAATCTTCGTCAGCTAATGGAAATTCGCTATTTCCTCTAAGCATCTTTTTAGTTAATTATTTGAATTTTCAAACAAAAACTTACTAAATACAATTACGTAATAATCGTACATAATCGAACATTTCGCAATGCTTTCCGAATTCGCTCTCGTTTTGAATATTGTTTTCTCCTATTTTCTCGTTAGATGACATTATTCTTCACATCCATCTTTTTTTTTTTTCTCCTTCTAAAGAAGGAGGACCTATCATATAGTTTACTTCAGAAATCGACAAGAGTTTTAAAGTTTACGTTAACTTAAGGCTGTTTTTTATCTCAGTTTCAAATAAACTAATATACTATTACTGCCATAGTGAGAAAGGCAAAATTCTAAACAATGCTTAGAATTCTCGAGTAGTGTCGGAAAATAACGCAGAAATATAAAAATGTTTTCCTATACAAGGACAGAACTTTATACTATATTCAAATTTCAATCCGGTGACAGATCTATTTAACTATAAACTGTGTACCTCATCTGGAAATTTATGCATCTGAAAGCCATATGCATCTGAAAAATATACCGTACTGAAAATTATATAAATCTTATAAAAACTATGTGCATTTGAAAATCATACCAATCTGACAAATATACTATATAGAAAACTGCATTATCTTATCAAAATTATATACATTTCGAATTATATTATAGGGTATTTCTCCTGCTTTCTTAGCGTGGCTTCGTGGTGTAGTGGCCAGCACACTGGGCCAGTATTCTAGAGGTCCGTGGTTCGATTTCCGGCGAGGGCGTTTGCTCATTTTTCATCTTGCCTGCTTCCAAAAAATCCTAATGTCTCTACAGTGGCGCCTGAAATAAAAGGGTGTTGGGTGAGGATTTTCCACACCCAGAATTTGGCGATTGGGCTCCCTAAATAACCCCAGTCGCCCTTTAAAAGGGGGAGTATATAAGGTATTTCTCCCGCCTTCTCTTTGTGCCTTCGTGGTGTAGTGTTCAGCACACTGGGCCGGTATTCTAGAGGTCCGGTGTGCTTCGATTCCCAGCCAAGGCATTTTTCATCTTGTCTGCTTCCAAAAAAAAAATCCTAATGTTTCTACAATATGCTTATGGAAACTATATATACAACTGTAAACCATATAAATCTGAAAATATACCAAATTGGGAAACTACATACACCTGATAAATCCTATATGCGTATGAAAATTATTTGCATGTAATCAGAACTGTGGATACCTGACATATATACCGACTTGAAAAATTATATAAATCTGATAAAAGTTATATACCTGAAAACTATAGTAATCGGGCAACTATAATAAATTGAAAACTATATTCATCTGATCAAAGGTATATACATATATCTATGAAAACTACATATACCTCTGAAAACTATATAAATCTGGTAAATATGCAAACTTTAAAAACAGTATACTTGACCAAAATTATATACTTATGAAAATTAATTGTATATGACAAAAACTCTGTGTATATGAAACTGTACAAATTTGAAAAATCATATCGAATCATATCGAAAATAGGAAAACTATAAGCACCTGATCAAAACTATATATATATGACGAAAGCTACATATATCTGAAACTATACACTATGCTATAAAATTAAACTACGTGCATCTGACAAGTATACCGAATTGAAAACATAAATCTTATTAAATATACACACATGGGAAAACCACACAGTTTGACAATAATATTAAACTGAAAAGTATACGTGTCTTAAATTACATACTTATGAAAACTATACATTCATTAAAAGCTATTTAATATGATAAATATACTGAACTGGATGCTCCTGAACAAAACTATATACATTTGAAAATTATATGCATTTGGTCGAAGGTATTACATCTGAAAGCGTATACATATGAAAATTATGTACATCTGACAAATATACTGAATTAAAAGCTATATACAGATTACAGTTATACCACCAGAAAGAAATATTTTTCTAATCCTGAACAAATGATTGCTTAGGATTTCTCTATCAAATGTAGAAAGGTCGTAATATCATACTTACCTATAAAAAAATCAGCAAACATTTAAGAAATCAGACTTTCCATGCAAACACTATTGCATTTCTTCACTCGTTATGAAGCGACGGCAACGATTACATTTTCTCCCAGTCCCTTTATCTGAACAGTGATAAAACTCATTATCTAAATTACAGGTGAATGTATCAGACAAGGTTATTTGTAGTCTTGTTTTTCTGCTTACAGTAGAACTTCTATAGTATTATATCCTTTTTTTTTCACCTTTGGTATGTATGCAATGAGATGTTTAGGGGCATCACCAATACGGCACACTTTTACCTTTTTAGCTGTCTGTAAACAGGTACTGTGTTCCACTAGGGATGACCACTGACTTGGCATTTAAGTAAACGCTTTTCAGTGTATTGCCATCCTGGCGGATAAAACCCGGAGCGTGAAAATGAGCAACGTTAATTATTTTGATCAATCAAGGTTTACAGAATACAGGACCTTCATAAATGCGCAAGGTTCATAATATACATTGAAAATCCAAAACATTATGACCACTTACCCAATAACGTGTTCGGCGAACTTTGGCCTGCAAAATAGCTGCAACTCGTTCTGACATGGATCCACAAGTTCTTGGTAGATGACTGAAGACAGGGTGTACCAAATGTATAGGCAGCGATCACTTAAAGCCAAGATATTCCGACATGAGCTGTGAGCTGCAGCTCCATGACATATCAAATGTGCTCTATCAAGTTAAGATCCCTCGAGTCAGGTGGCCAGGACATTAACTGGAATTCATCCGTATGCGCCTCGAACCATTCCAACACAATTAGAGCCTTGGGGCGTTGTCCTGCTGAAAGATTCCATTTTTAATTGGGAAGGTAGACTCTATGTAAGGGGGCAACTGATCTGCAGCTTTCATGGGCTGTTGTACTACAACTAAGGGTTCTCGAGCCGCCCATGAGAACGTCCCTTCCAGCATCATACCACTAACACCAGCCTGTGTATGACCTGCTGTACAGAAGGGGAGCAACAGTTCGCTTGGAAAACGAACTGTGTGTTCCGAAACACTAGCACTTGGATTATATTGTATTGGGCTCTCAGCCGAGTCACTGTCTGGCTACGAGTTTGCTGTACTAAGCGGAACAGTGTCCGTAATCCTTTTTTTCTTTGATAACGCATGGACATCCAACACCTTGGATTCTAGAGCTGATTTCCCCGTCATTTATCTACTTTGCATAAATACTGACAACGGCAGATCGTGAACACCTTACCAGTCGTGCAGTTTCAGAAATACTTGTTCCGGGTCTTCAGGCCACTACAATCTGCCCTCTATCAAATTTGCTTGGATCAGCAGCCTTTCCATCCCTCGCAAAAGTAAGTGCAAGAATGATTCGTTACCTTCTCCAAGCAGCAGTTAAATACCATTTCTACTTAATCACGTGCCCTCCACATCATCCAGGCTAGTTCATTGAAAAATGTAGGGTTGGCATAATTTTTTTTTTTTTTTTTTTTTGCTCTGAATTAATATAAATTACAAATGTTTGCCAGTTGATTATTCGTGAAACATTGAAATTAAAACAACATTTATAGAAATTGGAAAGTAATGGAAAAGTTAAGTCACGTTTAGTGGAAAAATCTTCTCTTTAATATGGTCACCTCAGACAGATATGCATACCTCATATCTTCATTTTATAGACTTTACCAATGTGTTGATCAGGTCTTATGGTATTGCACGCATTTCTTCTAAAAGTGCACTTTTCAACTCCTGGGAGGTTAGGGGATGAATTTGGAGCGCTGAAATTCGCTGCCCTAAGGCATTCTACACATGCTCAATCGGGTTCAAGTCGGTTGAGTTAGAAGGCCAATCCATTTGAGTGACATCTTCTGTTCGCCAGTATTCTGACGCTACATATGCTCGATGAAGCCGAGCATTGTCATCCATTAGCAGAAACTCTGGGCCGACAGCGCCCCTAAACAGTCTAACTTGGGGTTCCAGTACCTCGTCCACATATCTCTGAGAGGCTACAGAACCTCCTTGAAAGATATGCAGTTTGATACGGCCGTTTGTCATGATTCCTCCCCAAACCATTAAATCGCGTTTGCAGAAATGGGATATGTCACGGACAAGGAGGAAAGGCAAGTTGCGTGTTTTTCCTCTCTCGAGATCAAAACATGTCTAGAATCACTTTCCAGACTATATCTGGATTCGTCATTAAACAATACTCGGCAAAGTGTCATGGCTTCATTTAAGATGACGAAGACACTAGTTTAAACAGGTTCCTTCGGAAATTGGAATGAGCGAGACACAAACCATTGGTTTTTTTATCATACAGTCAAACCTTGTTAAGCCTTTGTGCAGCAGTAGAGCGGCTAACTCCAGTTCCTGTGGTAGTCTGAAAGTATAAAACCAAATCTCTTGTAGTCTCTTGGCGGTTTTTTCGAGACGGCAAGAGAAAATGGTCTTCTGATGCAATTGTTGCTCTTGACCAGGGTGTTTATCAACTGATCCAGTGCTTAGAAAGCGGCTTCAAACTCTTGATATGACACTTATTATTCACACTTATTATATTAGGGATATTCAAATCTTGGGGAATCTCCATTCTAAGGTATTTCTCCCGCTTTCCTAGTGAGCCTTCGTGGTGTAGTGGTCTGCACGCTGGGCCGGTATTCCAGAGGTCCGTGGTTTGATTCCTGGCGAAGGCGTTGCATATTTTTCATATTGCCTGCTTCCAAAAAGTACCTAATATCTCTATAATGGCCGAACTAAAAGGGTGTTGGATGAGGATTCTCTACACCCAGGATTTGGCGATTGGGTCCCCTAAAAAACCTCAGTCGTCCTTTAAAAAAGGAGAGTATATAAGGTATTTCTCCGGCTTTCCTAGCGTGCATTCGTGGTTTAGTGGTCTGCACGCTGGGCTGGTATTCCAGAGCTCCGTGGTTCGATTCCCGGGGAAGGCGTTGCATGTTTTTCATCTTGCCTGCTTCCAAAAAATACCTATCGTCTCTACACCATTTATGTTTGACCTCCCTTCGTTCTACCAATCGCCACTTTTGACCTTTACTTAAATGATGCTACTGCATACTGATCACTCTCAAAAACCGCATGCACTTTAAACAGCAATACAGACGGGAATTCCAACATGCGTCCATAGCACTTCATGTTGTCAGTCACAGAATTTGCATACTTCCGACACTAATGCGGAAGTGCAGTTTTGTACTCAATTTTATTTAATTAACATAAATAGTTAAAGCATTGGAAATTGGTTGCAACATTAACTTAGTGAGCATATTTTTCTCATTATCCTTTAATTTTGATGACCAGTGTAGGTTTAACAAGCCTAAAACTAATGCTGGGCTTCTAATTCATTCACTTCGACAGTAGAGAAGTACTTAATTTATTCACTTCGTCAATGAAGAAGTTTCTTTTAATTATACGGTAGAAAACGAAATTGTACTTTAAACCGATTTATAATTTCGTAGAGGAAGAATAAAACAGGTTTATGACATGGGCTGTAATGCCGTGCTTCAAATGTAATGAAAGTTCTCGAAACAAAGGAAGGGAGACCTCGAAACATCGTTTGGCGCACAAATTGCAGTGGAGTGGTAACAAAATTATTCAGATACGGTATGATAATGAGTGAGAACTATTCTGTTGCCCATACCTTGGAATTAACTAGCGAAGTTCAGTCATTTCTATGATGAGTATTTAACTATTGGGCAAAGTAGGCAATGTACTCGGACTTAACTATTGGGTCATCCGGAACGTTCTGCTAAAAGCATAACAAAAATCATGGAATCGCATAAGCACTGTTTTGTTCTACGATTTGTTCTCATCACTCCAGCTGCTGGAAAATTCCATTTTTTTAAAAAAGGCATTAGTTCTAGTCATAAAAAAATTTATTGACGTTCTGTCTGACAATCTCCAAAGAAATGAAGTCCAGACCATTCGAAAAAATTTGAAGTGACGTAAAGGGATTAAAACCTAGGGGCTAAGTCTAGTCAATATAGCGGGGGTGACACAAAATATCCGAGCCATATTCAATAAGTTTTTGATATTAATTTCAATCCTGGATCAAATATTTTCGTGAAGGAAGACAGCATTTCTACAGTTGGGCAGTTCTGGATGCTTTGCTACAGTTTCTGCTTCTGAAATGGCCATTTGGAAAGAGTATTTTTGCGAATTTATAGTCTAATTTGGTGACAATAATTTATACTGTACAATTCCTTTGTAGTATGACCATAGAAATGCCCCGTCTCTATACCATTACTAAATGAGTTTCCTTTGGCTTACCCCATGACCTTTTTCGTATAACATTATTGCATAGTATCCACTTACCATCTCCAGTAATGACCCGTTTTAAAAAAGTAGATTTATTATTTTGAACAAAAAACTGCATGTCGAAATTCGAATGAGCATATTCTGCTGTTTTAAAATATGGTGCACCTATATATATCGACGCAGCTTACATATCCAAACATCATCAAATGGTCGTGTACTATATTTTTTGAAATGTTTAGCCTGTCTGATAGTTCCCGAACTGTATAGGATAGATTTTCAGAGATAACTTCTATAGCTTCTTTGAATAGATCCTTGTTAACATAGAATGATCGTCCAAAGCGGGCGTCATCTTCAAAGCTGGAATTCCACGCTTAAACTTCTCAAACCACCTTTGAACTGTTCCATCAGAAAGAGCGAACTTCTGGATTCTCCATTCTTAGCACTTCACTGAAACAAAAATTATGCTTAAATATATGATAGAATTACACGACATAAACAGAAAAGATTGTATTTAAACATGTGCTTCGATCAAGGTCACTCCTTATGAGCAGCAATAAAAATAATTAGAAGTAAATGCACTTCGATTTGAAAAACCGCTGAACTTATCGGATGACCCATAACAATACTCTTTCTCTCAGTTCGACTACGATTTTCTTCGAAGATAGAATAAGAAGAAGAGAAGGCGAGACGTAAGCTGCGTGAGAAAATAGTTCCTTTTTTGTACTGTGCTTTCGTTGCAACTTAGAGAGGGTTGTAACTTTGATGAGTTGCATAAGATGAAGTTCAACGATTGACATGCGTTACCATCACCTCATAGCAGGAACAGGCTCAATTGGCTGCATAATTATGTGAATATGAAGAATAATTGAGGCCTGCTTTAACATCTTCTTTAACATTCTTTTCTATAATATCTTCCAACCGGTGGTCTAGCGGTAAAGTCGTTGAACACTGGTATTTTGGTTCGAGGTTCGAATTCCGGTGAACGGGCTGACAGCATGGCATTTTCCTAGTTTTCCTTATGTGTTAAGTGTGTACGAGCCAGTTTCCCTTAGAATAGCTTTAAAGAAGCAATGCCTTGAAGCATCCCTGATATCTAGGCATAATTTGAATCGTAGGATAGAAATATTAAAAAACATCGAAAGATCGGTATGTCATTTCAGAGAAAGTTCGATTTTGTTTCAAAACAACTATGTTATAAGAATGCTGTATGTAAATTTACCATATACATATCCCAGATCGCGCTATCGAGATTTGAAAAATGCTAACTAAATTTCGTCAGTCGGCCCAGTAGAACGGGAGATATTAAACTGTCCCATTGTTTTTTGTGCAAGGTGTAGTAGGATAGAAACTGGCTGTCTGTGCTCCATTTCACCTTCTTTGTTCTTTCGATGTTCCTCTTAGAAATGAGCTCAACACTCATTGACGTGAGGTGCTCCTGGGACTTTGCAAGATAACGGAGTTGGACATATCACGCTCTGATGAATTACAGTCAGATATTAGAATGCTAATATTACTATGTATTCCTAATGGAATGCAGTTTTGTTTTGAAGAAATACTGTGATAGTTACCAGTGCTTTATCCGTGACTCGTTTTCTTTTATTTTCTTATTGTAATCGTTAGGAAATGTTTATATTTTACACACACACAATAATATAAACTATCTACTTTTTTAATAATAAATTTATAATAACCTTTAACTTCCGTTTCTATTCTGAAAATAACAGAGCAATAATTTTGTAACTAAGCTCTCTGCAGTTCTGATGCTCACTTATCGACGAAATCCAACATCTGGACATCAATCTGTCATGTGATCTGAAATGTAATTCGGTATAAAAGGTAATTGCGTCGCAACTCCCCGTCTTTTCGCTCTTCTTTTCTGCTTTTTTTCTCTGTGTCACCTTCCGCTAGCGTCTCAGAGTATACTTTTCCAATTTCGTCCATGGTTAAGAAATGTAAGCTGTATAAAATTGTGGGGTGCATAGCGCATCTGTGGTAATGATGTGCATTATCAAGCAATAAAATTATGTGTGGAATTTACCTGCAAGTCTGTCTTTCGAATGTCATCTTTCTATCTACACAGTCAAGCCTCACCATTGCCAAATCAGTTGCAACTTACTTTCATCAAGCCATCTTATTCCACAGACACACACACACACATATATATATATACAAAGTCATCATTCGCCATACATATATATATATATATATTTATGTATATACATATGTATATATACACTTTATTGCTAATTTACTTTAAAAAAAAATCTGACTATTGTTTAATTGTTTTCGTTAATCAGATCATATATTATCTCTTTGCACTCTGCTTGATAGCTCAAATAGATAAACAGTTTGGAGAAAATTTACAACTGCAACATTTTGATAATTTTGCATTTTTTGTTGCAGATAAGAATTATAATCACTTCCAAGCATTTCTTATCAGAAAAGAGATACTAAATTTTAAGAATTATAAAGCAAATAAAATTTGATGGAAAGTCCGCTTCGAGATTAGGTGGAATAATACATTAATTTAGAGTCATTCTTGTCATACCTATCGACGCGAAACAGAATCAGAAACTTTTCTGGAAGACAGATTTATTCCAGATCTATAGCAAGGCCAAAACCTGCTCATTCTCGAAGGTACATTAGGTATCTCCGAGGCGGGCGAACTATTAAGCTTCGCCCCAATTTTGATGGATAATACTCTAGCGCGGGTTCTCAGAGTCTTCCACCTGTCTTTTCCTGCCACAGCCATTGGAAAGAACTTTTGGCTCACCTTGTATTTTAAGAACTCCTTACCGCACAGCTACTATACACATACAAACATTCTTGCTTTCTCCGAGATTCGAATTTTTACTCATCGGTGCTCCAAAGTCCGGGTCAATAACCACAATGCCATTCCTTCATCTTGATTACACTAAAACACACATTCATAAGAAGAAGAGTAAATACAATCTACGGACTTTAATAAGCCAATAAACATAAGAGATACCTGAAACCACACATTAATCAACTCAGCATTGATCTGAATACCTGTCAAACGGAGGAAAATCTTGATCATGCCTATGCAGAAATGTTTTCTGTTATCATCATTGCCTGTCCATTCATTACAAATGGACTGTAAATATAAGCAGTTTTCTTTGAAAATTGTGCAAGTCCATTTTTGACAAAAAGTTAGTTAAGGATAATAATTAATGCAATCCGCTATGAGCTTTTTAATCGATGATTCTTTTCTTTAACAGTAACAATTTTTATCAGTTCCTCCCAAAAATTCTTCAACATTTTCATCGTTTTGTCAATATAAATTTACGTAGTTAATGAAATTACGGATATAATTACTTTGAAAGTGGCGTACGTCTACTTTCCGATGAGACATAACATTTAGTTA